CCCCCCCAAAAAAAAAAAAAAAAAAAAACAAAACACACACACACACACACACACAGCCGCACGGACACAGCCGCACGGACACCATCGCGGGAATAGTCTGGACAGCTTCCCAGGACCTCAAAACATCGAGATCTGATGAAAACTCGATTTCCGCAAAACGGGGTAAAACCAATAACTTCCCGAATTTTGAAAAATTTTCAATTTTTCTTAGCGGGAAGTTAAAAAATTCGATTTGATAAAGAATTATAAAATTATATAAAAAAATCACTGTTTTTCTTACATTTTCAATATTAAATACCTCCCAAACGAATCTACCGATTTTGACGAGTTTGGCGGCTGTCGGAACAATTCTTTTTAAGTAAAGTTCCTTTCATCTTAAATAATTAGGGTAAAAGACCCCATTAGGGGTGTGGATCCCATTACTGACACTTTCTTTGATTATGGTACTAATTCAATTAATGAAATCATTAATTTCTATTATGAATATATTATTTCTAATCTTTAAGACCTTTAGATTAAAAAAATTTTTAATTTTTATTCCAATTAGAACATTTTCTCATTGAAAGAAAAAGTACCACTGATAGGGGCTTAGAGGTGCCACTAATGGAGTCTTTTACCTTACTAATAGTTAAATTATTACATTAAAAACGATCTAAGAAAAAATTTCGAAGTTATTTGAAAAATACTTTTATTTTCAAACTTTACGACAATAAATCTATCGCATCTCGGCAAAGTTTTTGAACGCATTGTTGCAAATCAAATAGTAGATTATCTCGAATCAAACAACCTGCTTGATGATCACCAATCTGGCTTCAGAAATTACTATAGCACACAATCTGCGTTACTGAAACTGACTGATGATATTCGTCTAGCAATTGATAATGATGATTTAACCTATCTTATATTATTTGATTTCATCAAGGCTTTCGACTATTTAAATCCAAAAATCCTATTTATTACAATGTATGAGATGGGTTTCTCGATTGAGGTTATTAAATGGTTTCGATCATATCTAACTGGTAGATCACAATCAGTTTTAAATGACTCAAATACTGCCTCTAAACCACTCAACACGACATCAGGTGTTCCTCAAGGATCTATATTAGGTCCAATCCTATTCTTGATTGCGATAAATGGAGTAGCGAAGTGTCTAAGTACGTGCAAACATGGCCTCTTTGCTGATGATAAGTGTGCATATCTTCATTTCAAATTATACAAACTGGAAGAAGCTGCCTCTCGTCTTACTTCCGATGCCCAAGCTGTAGCGGATTGGGCCCGTGAAAACAATATTGAAATTAACTTTATGAAAACTAAAGTCATGATTCTTGGCAGTAAAAGTAAGTTGAAGATTCTTGAAAAGTGTGATCTACCAATAATAGTTGATGGAAATATCATACCACATTTCAACTCAACGAAACATCTAGGAATTCACTTATCAACCAATCTTACATGGGATGATCATGTTGCACAACTTTCACGCAAGGTATTTGGTGTTCTAAAAAGCTTAAAACATAAGAGAAACATCCTCTCAACAAGCACTCGCAAGTTGCTAGTCACTTCCACAATATTGCTAATAATTGACTACTGTTCTTTTGTTCTACTTGATTCATCAAAAAGGCTTGATAATAAACTTCAGAGACTGATTAATATTGCCATAAGATTCATCCTAAACCTTAAATGTGATGTGCATATTACTCCTCATCGTCATTCGCTAAATTGGCTTAACATCAAATCAAGACAATCATACTTTTTAGCTTGTTTTTTCTATAAATTACTTGCTACTGGAGAACCAAAGTTCCTGCGTGCTCTGTTTAGAGATGAAGATCCTGATATTAGAAGATCAGATAGGCTGGCAAGTAAACAATAATGTGAACTTTAAACTACCAAACTATACCACTACTACCTATGAACACTCTTTTGTGGTATCAGCCATTCGACTCTGGACAGAATTACCACATGATATTATAAATTCCCAGAGTTTAAGCATTTTTAAAAATAAAGTATTTGATTATTTTATGTCACGTGAGATTGAAGGAAAACAGTAAATTGATTCTGACTTGGTTCTACGATTTTTTTTTTTTTTTTTTTTTTTATCTCGAGATTACTCTTATTTCTGTGTTTCTCTTAGAAACTGTTCTGATTAGGAAAAATATGTTACTTAAATTCTAAATTCTATAAATGTGAATTCATTTCTTAAACAATACTATTATTAATGTGAATATATAATGTTTATGTATTTTGTATATTTGCCATTCGGCTTATGAGGCCTTGTCATAACTTTATGATAAATAAATAAAAATAAATAAATATCTTTTAAACAAATGGGTTTCTTGAAGTTAAGAGTTGATTAGATTTTGAAATTGATCGATAGAGTAGTTTAAAAGATATTACAAAAAAACTTTTTCTTGAAAATGTTATTTTTTAGATTTCTCAAAATCTATAGAGCCGAAATGTTTCGAATTCACATGAAATGTAAAGGCAATGCAACTTTTTTAAACGCCGTAAAACGTGTTTCAAACGGTTAAGTCGTTTAATAATTATTAGAAAAATACACAGACACACACACACACAAATATATATGCATACAAGCGCACGAAAAAACAATATTTGTTACTAAAGTATAAATATTCTTGATTCGTGGAAACACTCACGAACACCAACACTCTATTGGACAAAACAAAAACTTATTCGACCCAAAAAAATTTTCCGGCTAAAATTTTAACATCTGATGAAACCGCTATTTTAGAAATTCCAACTGAACTCAATTGTAACTTGTTAATTTTTTTGAAAATTTATTAATTTTGTATGTTTTCTCTATTGAGAATTTGAAAAATTTTAAAATACAATTGACCTTGATGTTTATAAAGTTTGTTGTGTCTTACACTTGTAACTTATCTGAAGTAATTAACAGTGATAATGTTAATTATTACAGATCACTTTAAAGTAAAACGGTATCAGTTATCATTCAATGAAACTTATTGATATGAAAAAATTAAAAATAAACAATCGTTTATCATTGCGAGTAAAACATCATGCCCCTTCTCTCGATCAAAAGTAATGTAATGATATTGCGCGCGTAATTGTTTCGAGCCGTCTGGTTCAAAGTCCAGTCATGAGTTTGTGTCTTTTATGATATCGATGTATTTGTTTACTTTACTGACTAAGTATAAAAATAAGTTACGTTTATTTAAAATTCTTCGGTTATAAAAAATACTGTAATAATAAATTTCCTTTCTAATTCAATAACTTCCGTTGGAAAAATTATTATTAATCATTTAAGTACCAAAAAAAAAAAATATTTAATAGTTAACAAAGTTATCAATAATCTTAAAGCCTCAAAAGTAATAATAATGTTGAACAACAAATTTCAATAAAATAGTTATCAATTATATTTTTATAACTAACTTACCCGATTATTTCACTTCAAAGTCCATATACTTGTGACTTACAAAATGATATTACTATCGTATTTAAAGTTATTTATTTACAAGCATATTATCAGGAATTTTATATGCGTTGTGTCGACAATTGTGATTGGTAAACGATTTTCATGACTCTAGACATTATTATCACTCTGATTAAAAGTATTCTGACTCACAATTACTTTAATAGTTTATGATAATGTATTTAATAATTAATTAAAAATAAAACAAATTATTTTTTGTTCACTGTAGCTAATGAACAAAAAGTATAATCATAAAATAATTTCATTAATAGAAAAAATTTATTTTTAAACTTACGTATTATTTAGCAAGATACTATCACATAATTCAACTATGAAGAATAATAAAAATTTGAATAATCATATTTAAATGAAAAAATGTAAAAAACTGAAATATTTACAATTAATTGAGAACAGAAATTCCTATTTACTTCTTCTACAGGTCAGATACAGCTGATATTGAATACACTGTTTAAAACAGTCATACACTTATCTATACAGCTTCTTTGACGGCCTGAATTACACGTAAACTTTTACTTTAAGTACAAATTACGTAAAACATACGTATAGTGAATGCATAACAAACTGTTGTGTGTTGTTGTTGTTGTTATGCTTTTGGAGGCTCGACTCGAGCGTCGAACCAGTCGCAATGAATCGTAATGAAGACCGGGTTTTCCCCCATTATATATATACATGCACTGTACAATATTTAGTCTTCAAACTCGACACAGTTTTTAATTTCGATAAATAAATATGTAACATGTATATATCATCTTATATCATGCGAATGAATAAATATTTGTATTAGTGGCCAAGGGTGTCGGTATATAACGCACTAACTGTCATTAAAATTTATCTCAAACCATTTTTCTGTACCTGATATACAATGATGTAATTTTACGCTGTTGCGTTTATTAAGCGTATTTTCAGCCGACTGGAGATGATTATGAATAACTGTTCAACTTTAAGCTTCTGATAGCAATTATTCCCCACTTCCAAACAATTCTTTACTTACGTATGTCCTCGGACTTTACTTTTCTTCCATAAACAAATGAAAATTTTCTTTATATATATGTAATATATAATATTATACAAAAATATATTTTCAAAAAATTCAAAAAAAAAAAATAAACCACAGCATTGAAAGGTAATGTATAACAGGAAATCTTCTAAATAAAAAAATCAGGAATTCGTTTTTATATAATATAATCCAGTGAAGAGTTTACAATTTTGACTGAGTTTGAAATCAAAGTTATAGAGTATACAGTAGTTGAGCCCTTCACTTTTTCGTGAGGGATAGTGGGGACTTGAAGGTAGAAAACGAAAAAGTTTTAATTAAAGACCACTGTATTCGTAATATTATAAGAATTTACACAGGGAATGTCTTGAGGTAGACTCTCAACTTCGTAAATAAATTTATACAAAATTAAATGTAAACAATTTTTTCAAAATGTTATTAAAGAGGTGAATTCAGTAAAAGATGTAAATAGACTGGGAGAAAATTAAAATAGAAAGTTAAAACAAAACTTTGTGATTATAAAATTTTTATTATTAATTTTACAATTTTTGTTTTTATTATCTAGATCAATATTTTCGATGTATCTTTGGATAAAAAAACTATCGATTTAAAAATCTTTGGAATATTTTTTAAACACCGCATCTTAGCAAAAAAAATCAAATAATGATTAAAAGTAACAATTTTCCTGCAGAAAAACAAGTTCTTCTTTTTATTTTAATAATTTATCAAGTTTTTATCTTGTCTGGTCATTTAACATTCAATAATTAATTAAATTCAAAAAATATAAATGTAAGTGGTATTTGTTGTGAAAAATTATGCACAGTTATTAAAATTCATATCAAGACATTAAGCAAGCTTACTTTTAAATTAAGTAAGATCGTAATTTAATTAAGTAAATTAACAAATATAAATAATGCTGTGAAGCGGGAAAGAATAGGAGTTACGGATAATTATTACATGAAGCGTTTCAACATTCACGTAACAGGATATTTTGGTAGGAAAGGATTGAGAAAGGATTGTGGAGAGGATCATCTTAATGTGAGTGTATAGAATATGCGAGAAAAATTATTAGATAGCTCGGACTGGGATTCGAACCCAGAACCTTCCGAAGACTTGTCGGCTACTCTACCATTTGAGCTATCCAGTCTATACTAAATTTGTAGTAATCAGCCAGACTCTTGTTTCTAAATTTAAACTTGGATCAATATTGTAATCTGTAACGATTGCAAAAAAATCAAATTTTTTCATAAGAATTCATAATATAAAAAAAATCAGAATTATAATTTGTGATTATTATAAGGTAAATATTTTACAACTTGATAAATTATCATCGATCTGTTGAATTTATTTTTTATGTTTTTTTTGCTTATCAAAATGTTTTCAGTTCAACAACTTGCTCTCGTATTACATAATATTTTATAGAAATTGTTTATATAAAAATGGGGATTTTTCTTTGTTGAAATTAGAATACTTCCCACAAAAACATAAGGAAAATATCTATATAAAACATGGGTTAATACCTATATTAACATATAAATAATTCTTAAGATATATAAGAATTATTTTCACGAAAAACTGATCAATAAAATACTTCATATGTATTTTTGTTAGATTTAATTGAGTTTCGTTCTTTTTCACAATCTACTTTAATTTTTAGAATAATTTTAAAAATCATATTCTTATATTAAGCTTATTGTCAATATATATGATATGTACAGATAGGACATCTAGTCGACGGAAAAATTCGCGTTAAAGATTCTATAAAAACATATAAAAGCCGTATAAAAATAATTCAAATCTTGAAAAATTTATCTTTGAGTTCTTATTTTTTGAATATATTTGAAAGGTTAAAAACATACATGAAAAAAATTCGCAAAAAAATTCATGTTAAAATATATTAAATATATATTTAAATTCATGTGAAAAATATTGGTACGATGATATATTTTTTATATGTTGCACGACTCATGATGCGAAGCATCAGAGAGTGTTTTACGATCGAAAAAATTTTTTTCGCCTCATTTCGGCAACTATTTTTATTATTATAGTCTTGTTAAGTGTAAAGTGAAAGCAGAGGATCTCAACAATGAAGATCTCATAGAAATGAAACAGAATTTAAGAGCAAGAGGAGTTAATATAATTATAATTATATTATAATTAGTCTTTTTTTTGGCTTTTCTCTGACCCGTGAATGTTGGAACGCTTCACGTATTAATTATCCGTAACTCCTATTCTTTCCCGCTTCTCAGCATTATTTATATTTGTTAAAAATGCCAGCTGTAAGATGGACGGTGTGGCTCAATGTATGATAAATGAGTGAAAGGAAATTTAGTATAGACCTGATAGCTCAAATGGTAGAGTAGCCGTCATGTCTTCGGAAGGTTCTGGGTTCGAATCCTAGTCCGAGCTATCTAATAATTTTTTCTCACATGTTCTATACACTCACATTAAGAAGTTCCTCGTCATAATCCTTTCTCAATCCTTTCCTATCAATTATCCTGTTACGTGAATGTTGGAACGCTTCACGTATTAATTATCCGTAACTCCTATTCTTTCCCGCTTCCCAGCATTATTTATATTTGTTAAAAATGCTAGCCGTAAGATGGATGGTGTGGCTTAATGTATATAGAATAAGTGAAAGGAAATTTACTTGTGTATAGAATATGCGAGAAAAAATTATTAGATAGCTTGGACTGGGATTCGAACCCAGAACCTTCCGAAGACTTGTCGGCTACTCTACCATTTGAGCTATCCGGTCTATACTAAATTTCCTTTCACTTATTCTATATACATTAAGCTACACCGTCCATCTTACGGTTAGCATTTTTAACAAATATAAATAATGCTGTGAAGCGGGAAAGAATAGGAGTTACGGATAATTATTGCTGTGAAGCATTCCAACATTCACGTAACAGGATATTTTGGTAGGAAAGGATTGAGAAAGGATTGTGGAGGATCATCTTAATGTGAGTGTATAGAATATGCGAGAAAAATTATTAGATAGCTCGCTAGTGTATTCTCGGTCTTATCATCATGCAATGATATTAAATATTGTGAGTCAAACATATAAATTTTTTTAATTGTGCTGGTGATTACAGACACCAAAATGTGTATCAGGTTGAAGAGCATGCTAAATTTCTTACAAAGAAAGAAAAAATTTTTCATTAGAGAACTAATTTGTTTGACTACAGAAAATATTTAACAAAACAAAAATTCTCATGGCTAAAGTAAGGTTTTACTGAGACAAAAAAATTTTCTCACCCCAGAAAAAGTTTTTCTTGCATAAAAACAACTCAGGTCTTCTAAAAAATTTT